GACAAGGCTGGAGTAGGGATGGCAACGATTCTGTTCGGCCAAAATCATCACCAAACCGTCAAATTTTTTGACATACCATAACCGCACCATAACCACATAAATCGGTTCGATTCGTATCTCGATTCGGTTCAATTAATAACCAAAAAAAAATTATATTTTATAGGACCATCCGTCAAATTGATATAAAACAATTTATGAAAAGAGAATCAATGAAAACAAAAACACAATATTCCAAACGAAAATGCAAACATTATCTCAAATTTCAATTGCAAAATACAAATTTAACAAACAATATTATGAATATAACAATATTAAACTTTTCCTTCATTCTTGATTCTTGTGCATTGTAGTTACTTGATTCATGCTCAATAATTCAAAAGCTTCAACCTTAACTCATATTCAATCTCCATTCTTCCCCACAACTCTTACTAGCATTGATCAGCACTCAAAATTAATTCCTATATAGTAAATAAGAAATGTAAGTATATAATACAATGGTACTACCTAATCCAGAATGGTTTTAACTAATGCCCTGTTTAATAGCATGGAAAATCAATGGGAAATGAAAATAAAATTCCACTTTCCAACTTTAACAATGTTTGACTGCAAAGTTTTTCCCTGAAAATGATTTTCCCACCCCTCTCCTCACGCGCCTGATTTCTAGCTTTTTAAGGAATTATAATTCATATAGGTTACGTGAGAATTTGTTTTCCAGGTTCCTTTAAAAAAAAATTTAATTTTTTTTGTTAATGAAAATAAACTCTATTCCTTGTTGTAAAAAAATATTTTCCCTTAAATGACAATTTTCATGTACAACAAAGCTAATCAAACACCAAAAGATAGATTTTTTTTTTTGAATTTTTTTTGTTTGTTTGTTTTTTTGTTTTTTTTTTTTTTTTTTTTTGTTTTTTATTTTGTTTTGGCAATGGAAACAAATTTCATCTCCAATACCAGTAAATTTTATCCCTTTAATTGATAATTTTCATGTAAAACAAAGTCAAACGAACACAAAAAAATACTTTTATTTCAACATTTTTCATGTGGAAAATTATACCGATCAAACACAATAATTTACAATTTTCAGGAAAACAATTTTTAGACAATTTAATTCCCTGAAATTCGTTTTCAATTCAATTCAATTTCATCTTTGCAATCAAACGAACCCTAAATTTAAAATAAATAAAAAAATGTATCTCTTCGTCAACTTCTTCCTTGCCAAATCTTGCCATCCCTAATAAAAGAATGATTTATTTATTTATTTTTTTATGCGGGTAATCAATTTCGTTTCTGTTCGACGGCATAAATACCATATCTGCACCGACACGAACCGATTCATTAAAATCAAATACCATATTTGTCCTATTACACCATCGGTTAGATTTTTTTCGCCCCATTCAATTCGGTTAACCGCGATTTTCAGTTTTAACGGTTCAAATTATCATTCCTAGACTGGAGATCTGTTGACACCATTTTTGGAGGTCAACACAAATCATAAGCAAAATCAAAAGCTTTGTCGAGCGAACCTTAATTCATCGTCCTATTATATAACTTGACAACGTGATAATGTGTAAGGGAGACATGTGATGGGACACCATTCATGACCACAATGTGGTTGTTTTATACAGCAAAGAAATCCCTACAAATCCGACAATAAAAAAACACAAAATTCAGCCGTTAATGGGGCCTACCTCGTGCCAACAATTTCTCTGTTTCTTTCTACGAGTCAAAGTCACCTTCTGCAGATTTATTTGATTGAAGCTGTGTGGATGATTGCATATACACATGTTACCATTGCAGTGATTGTATAGTTGAATTTAATAACCATCCCCCATCACCCACCGTAAAATAAAAAGAACTACATGAAGCGAGACTTCACTAAACAAGCAAGAAAAATCGATTATGTTGAAATAGGCGAAATGGTCCTTCGCTTCTTCGAATCTGAGATGATAGTTACAACTTTACTCATTAATTCAAGATTATGTAGTACTAAATTTTGTTTCGAATTCATATATGAACCAATCATACAAAATTTAAGATCCGTCAATTAAAAGTAACGAGATAGTCCATATTACAAATGACACGTCTATATTAAATTTCCATAGGTAATACAAAAGAATTAGATGAAAAAGTAAAAAAAATAAATATTATTCATTGTACGGCTTAAAATGAAAATGAGAGAGAAAATTCATCAATTTCAAAGTCAATAATTTTCAAAATCTCTTTCATATAAATATCGAGTCTTCATCATATAACCTACAAGTAAACAAGTGAAGTAGTGTATATTGACTAGGTCAAGTCAATATTGAAGCCAACTATGCATCATACTAGTGCTCTAAAAAGCGTGTTTAAAAGACGCATATGCAAGTGAAAAGACAGTCAACTCTTCAATGACTGCCAAATGCAAGATTTTAAGTTTAACTTTTTTTTAACCTTTTTTAGTTTAAATTTTTTTTAATATTAAATTTTACATCTTAAAAGTTAAGATTCTGAAGTCCTATCTACTCAAAAGTAATAAAAAGAAAAAGTTTGAACATCTCGGAATAGTACCCTCTCTACTATAACTCCATATGTGAAGTGTCTCCTTAACATGAGAAATTGAAGAAAGAGTGAAGCCAAATAACTCCACCACCCATGGCATTTGTGTTTCTACATTATTCTTTGTCCAATTTTTTATTTTTTTTTTTTTTTTTTTTTTTTTTTTTTTGGGGGGGGGGGGGGGGGGGGGGGAGGGGAAATATTTTGTTGTTCTTCGACATTTGATGTAAATATTGGACCACAATTTGTGTTGTGGATGATTTATGCATGCGTTACAAGTTGTTGATTCTTTATTTAACTTTCTAAGTGTTCGATAAAAAAATTTGTCAATTATTCAATTATGCCTAATTGAAACTAAATAATTAAATTATGGAGAAGTAAATACAGGAGAAATTAGATTTATTTATTTTTTAAAAACTGCTAAAAGAGATTAGGCCCCGTTTGATGTCCCTTGAATTCCATGAAAAATGGAAAATGAATTCTTTTTTCCAAATATTTTGGTGTTTGATTGCATTTCTTTTCTATCTTTCGCTCACACATGTGTCATTTCCTTATTTTGGTGAAAAATGAAAAATGGTGAGAATTGATTTTCCACATTTTTTTTCGTTTTTCGTTTTTTATTTTTGGCAATGAGAACAAATTTTAGGAACAATTGTAAAAGAGGATATCCCTTAAATTGACAATTTTTATATAAAATAAAGTCAAACGAACACCAAAATATAAATGATTTTTGAATTTTTTGTAATGGAAACAAATTTTAGCAACAATTGTAAAAGTGAATATCCCTTAAACTGACAATTTTCATGAAAAACAAAGTCAAACGAATACTAAAAGATACTTTTATTTTAACATTTTGCTGGTGAAAAATTATATAAATCAAATACTATTAATAGGCAATTCTCACTAAAACAAATTATAGGTAATTCAATTCTCTTCAATTTGTATTCTTTCCATCCAAATTCCATCTTTACAATTAAATGGGTGTACCTAAGCTATTGAGAAATATAGTAAATGGGTCATTAATTCAACTTACAATTAGTACTAAATGGGGGTTCCCGATCTTGATTTTGTAGCATATAGATCCCAGGGATAGTTTTGGTCCATTTGACATAAATTCCATTACAAAATTAAGATGACTAAATTATTTAAACATTAAATAGTAAATACATAAATTTTAATAAAGCGTGAACCCTCTGTCTTGATCTTTTGAGAGAGAATGTATCGTCATAATTGATTTATTAGCAAATTCGATTTTCAAGTTAAGTTTCAGACTATAGTTAGGAATAAGAAAGTTTTCAATAAAGCTAGTTTGAGAAAGCATAACCGAAAAACAAGACAATTATTACTCATCAAATACTGAATTTTTTAAAAAATGAACATACACCGACAAACTTATGCATGCACGAACAAAAAGTAATAATGGTTTGAACTTTGAACAAGCAATACATTGAAGATGGTGTTGATTGGTGCACGCGTTAGGACATAGATGGTCTTGGTGGCAGCGGTGTGACAATGAATGTTATAAGTGATGATGATCTCAGTTATAGTGGTGGTAACAATGTAATAAGGTGTATTACAAGTGATTGTAACGATATCGCTTACGGTGGTGATAGTGTAATAATATATGTTATAAGTGGTTGTAGTGGTAAATCAGTATAACAAGGTATGTTACAAGTGATTGTGGATGCAACCCTGTGTGGTGACATTGTAACAATGTATATTACAAGTGGTTACAGTGATGAGCACAACAAGGTATGTTACAAGTATTGGCCATGGTAGCGAAAAGATTGAGAGCTACAAATGTAACACAAGTATTATAATTATTTATAGGGATAGTGGAAAGAACATGTTAAATTTGTAACTCTCAATCTTTGAGAACTACGTATGGCCATGATGAGCATATTACTCCTTGAAAATCATTGTCTCGGGTAAAGATAAACGAAAGAAAAATGAGTACTACAAGCAATTTTAATTATGCTAGCGTAAAAATGTGATAAACGACTAAAATCTTAAATTAAAGACAAACTTTTAAAAATTTAAGTTTGAGTACCTTGTTTCCTTTTTCACATATATCGAGGTCTTAACTATAATTTTCTCCAAAATTCAAATCCATACAATCTAGTCAAAATCAAAATTGGTAAGCATTCATCAAAATTTATTTATAAAACCTTTTTCCTTTCTTATGAAAAAGTAGAGAAAATGAACTCTCTCTCTCTCTCTCTCACAACAATACACGCATGTATTAATATGTGTGCATTACTTTCCCAACTATAAACTTGAGGATGAAGTTCTAAAGTTGCCAGTATTTCACATGCTTCTTCTCTTTTCTTTTCCCTCTCTGGAAGTTTGAAACAAAAGCCTATATCTTTAAAAGGGCACTGATTTGCATGCCATCATTGCGTATCAGTACAGTTAATAACGGTATGTTCAATACTTTGCTCATTTAGCTATCTTTTTTGACTGATAAAGCATTTTAGAATAATCTTTCACAGTATTTTTTGTTCGCATCCCATAATTTATAAATCAATTTGAAAGTGCCATATACAAAGCTGATGTGTACCCAACGTATAGCTTTAAATCATTTTGCAATAACTTTGATTGTAGAGATTCGTGGGATTGATATGAGTTGAATTTAGTGAATTTTGAAACCTGGGTTCAAATTCATATATTGACAATGCCAAGGGAAAAGTTGAAATTTGATGGGAAAATTGGGCAATCCAAGGTGAGAAAAAGAGGGTGTTCATCGTCATCTTCATCCTCATTAGTCCGGAGTTATCGGTTAAAACGGGCGATTTTATTAGGAAAGAGATCGGGTGGATCAAGCATTCCTGTCCGAATATGGAAGAGGATGAGCTCGAGATCACCATCATTGAAAAATGGCAAGTATTTGGTGGCAAATGTTCGTGACAAAGCTAAAGATCTATCGATTACAGCCCGAAAATTGGCTACCATGTTAAGGGAGATTAATGGGTTTTCTTCATCTAGAGTGAAGAGAGAGAATTCGGAGGAGAAAATAAGCGAATTAGGAATAATTAGGAAAAGAGGGGTTTTGAAGGTATTGAAATTGGATTCAGTGCAATTTCATTTCGTCTGATCCATTTCATAGTCCTGTTTCTGAGGTGGAATTGCATTTTCTTTTGATAGAACTTGGCATTTTTTTTCCTACAGATAATATTGAAATTTGTTGTGTATTTGCAGAGAATGGATCCCTCTAAAGTGGGCAGTCATCTAAGAAGAGCATCGGCTGGTTCTCAAAAACTTCTGCAGTCTGACTGTAATTTGGGAGGCTTTAACTCTCCTCACAACTTCTTATTGGAGGTAACGAAATGCGTTCCTTCGTTTAGTAACCTTAGTCGATTATTGTTTTATCAGGAAAGAGTCGCACCGGATGAGATAACCCACTAGAAGTAATATTAGCTGGATGAGTGGCTGCAATGCTGCCTGACCGAGAACGAAGTAATGATGAACCTAAATCCAAGATTGGATTAAATCTGTTCTGATACAATATTAGAAACTATGAGCTAAAGGTAATTGAGGCAGAAAAATAGAAGAATAGGAGGAAATGTGTTACTATCCTGTGTAGAGAAAGGCCCTTCGGATTACAAATAAATATCTTCCATTATGAATTCCGCCTTATCACCCCTGTTGGAGATCCTTTTGTTTCATGCACATATTAGTTATACGATATTACTATCGTGGAAATAGCGTAGTAAATGTAGAAAATTGTGAAAATCAATATCTTTATACTTACATATGAATACTCTTATTTTTATGGCATCTTAGCACCAGCCAAAGGATCCAGTTTGTTGGTTCTGGTATCCTACAGAAAACGCCTTTCATTTTCATTGGCATGGTCAAATTAAATTTGGGGCTATACACTTTTAGGAAACAAAATTGAGTATCCGTCTACATCATTACATGTATTTTTAGAAAAATTTCCACATTTTATGCAGTGATGATAGAATTGATAGCATTTACTACTTTTGGAGCCACTCTTTTGGCCTGTTAAAACTGTGCTTGAAGAAATGGACAAATCCTTGTTTAGACTTAGGAACAGGGAACATGGTCTAGGTTCCTTCTGGGAGCCACCAATGCTGACATCCCATATGGTTGTTGTGGACATGAATTGATTCAGAGTCAAAACTTTCATTTTTGTCATGTTGTTTTGTATATAAGTTGAATAAATTCTATAGAACTTGAGATTGGGAAGTATTGAATATCGGTGGACTAACAAGTACTGCTTTATTCATGTCCTCTTAGCAGAATTTCATATGCTAAAGAAGGGAATATGTTGATCAAATTATAAGTTATGCAGGTTGATCGGGCACAATCTCATGGTCGGACTCCCTGCAGACATGCAGTTGGAGGAAAGAATCGTCTCAAGGATGTGCATAACGGGCTCATGACATCTAAAGAGCTGCTCAAAGTATTAAGTCGTGTTTGGTGCCTTGAAGAGCAACGATCCACTAGTTTATCGCTCGTCTCATCTCTGAAATTTGAACTTGAGCGTGTATGTGTTCAAGTCAATAAGTTAATCCAAGAACAAAGGACAAATGGAAGTGAGATTGATATACTTTTGAGGCAGTTTGAAGAGGAAAAGACAGTTCGGAAAATTAAAGAACGAGATAGGATTCGCAGTGCCATTACAACTATATCTGGAGAGCTAGAGATCGAAAGAAAGCTGAGGCGACAAACTGAGAGACTTAACAAGAAACTTGGTCGAGAATTGGCGGAGACAAAGACGTATTTGTCAAGTGCAATTGAAGAACTTGAAACCGAGAAGAGGGCACGAGAGATATTGGAACAAGCCTGTGATGAGTTAGCCCGAGGCATTGGAGAAGACAGAGCCAAAGTCGAGGAAATAAAAATACAGTCGGCGAAAGTTCGCGAAGAAGTGGAAAAGGAGAGGGAAATGCTTCAGCTAGCTGATGTGCTCCGCGAGGAAAGAGTGCAAATGAAGCTTTCGGAAGCTAAGTACGAATTTGAGGAGAAAAATGCAATTGTAGACGAGTTGAGGAGTGAACTTGAGTCCTATTTGAAGTCAAAAGCAGGTAGAGAAGGAGATGAGAGCCCCCCGAGCTGTGAAAAAATCAAGCAGCTCAAGAAATATTTAAGGGAAACGCTTCCAGGCTCGCGCCCCTACCAAGATAAAGAGAACGAAAATATTGAATCAGTAAATAAAGAGAACCCAGGGGAAGAAGATGATTTAGCCGATAGTGATCTGCACTCCATTGAATTAAATGTGAATGATATTAGCAAGAGCTATGAGTGGAGCATTGGTATTAAAAACGAGCCAAGGAACTCAGTCGATAAAATTAAGGGGAGGAAGTCTATTTCTGAAAAAATCAAGAAACCAAACATCTCAGAAACAAGATTTGCAGATGGCAAAGAGTGGGAATTCACCAGTATACAAGAAAAATCAGACGTTTTTGACAAGAGAGGATTGTTTGAGTTTTCTTCACAACCTTGGAAGAAGAATACTGAAGACGAAATCGAGAGATACAATATGATTAAAGATCTCAGAGACCACATTGTTTCTGGTTCCAGAATAGCATCCTCCCAGAACATGGCTGGTGGTACTAAGAACTGCATCCAACACAGTGTCCCGGTGGAGGATCATAATGGGGGTGGTATCTGAAGTATTCATAGTTTGATGCGGGCTAGAAAGTTTTTTGCATACCTTCACAGTTCATTTGGTAAGGTAGATTATATAGTATTCGACTGTAAAGAACTGTTATACTTCCTAATCGTGTTGAGCACTGAGCAACAAATCATAGCCTAAAAGAGTTCTCACATATTTAGTAGATATACATCATTTCCGATGGCTGCTACATTTGCCTTGATAGATGCCTTAATCTGGATTCAAGTTTGTCTCCCAGAACATGGCTGGTGGTACTAAGAACTGCATCCAACACAGTGTCCCGGTGGAGGATCATAATGGGGGTGGTATCTGAAGGATTCATAGTTTGATGCGGGCTAGAAAGTTTTTTGCATACCTTCACAGTTCATTTGGTAAGGTAGATTATATAGTATTCGACTGTAAAGAACTGTTATACTTCCTAATCGTGTTGAGCACTGAGCAACAAATCATAGCCTAAAAGAGTTCTCACATATTTAGTAGATATACATCATTTCCGATGGCTGCTACATTTGCCTTGATAGATGCCTTAATCTGGATTCAAGTTTGTAATTTTTTATTTTTTTTCATCATTTGCAGATAAGTTGTACAAAATATTCCACTTTCAATTGGTAACTTATTATTACAAATACTGTATATTTGCCATATATAAGTTTCAATGGCTCACTAGTATATGTAAGTTAATGCATTTTGGTCCAATGTCACTCAAACGCTAAACATGCCCCCACATTATAATAACAACAATTATAGTTAGAGTTAAAAAGGGAAATCTATCTCTTTTGTTTTACGACAATAAACCGCAACTTTTCTTAGAAAATTTAAGGTCGATTATATATATGAGTTGTTACACCAATTGAAATATCTAATGCGATTACATTTTTTGCAACTATAGATCATGATAAATTTTGATCAGTCTCGTTTTCTGCTAAAATGTTAAATGTGACATAGTTGTTACTACAAATGAGAGTTCTTTGAGTTTTTTAGATCTATAAAATACACGTCTCAATCACCAGTATGTGTTCAAAAAATACAAAACGCTACTCTTTTCATTAAGGACGATAAATTGTTGAGTGTTGTGTTTCCTAACCAGTGGATAATAACTTTCTCACGTTATAATTATAATTTTTTATATGTATTCCTGATTGAATAAAATCTTGAATTCATAAATATTAAAGAATATTTTTCAATATTGTCACTACATTGTTAATCCCATCAAATTTGTTTAACGTAGTATGTATGGTTTCATTTAGGGTTGGACAAATCTCCCGAACTGAACCGATCGAACTGAATTGAACTGAACCCGACGGTTCTTGTCAAATTAAATACCCGAACGGGTATTTGAATTAAAAACTGACGGGTACGGTTCGTTCTCGATTCTAGACCCAGAATCGAAGAACCGAATAAAAATCGAATCTTTCTAATTTTTTTTTTATATTGAATAAATCAAATTATTTTAATTATAATTTTTTCTAAACATATTAACAATTTCTAAATCCAAATTTTTGGCCCAATAATTTATTTCATTTCTAATTTTTTTAATTTTTGGCCCAACTACCCATTTTATTGTTTCATTTCTAGTCCAATAAGATCAAATCCACTAAATAACCCTAAACACATACACTAAAGTGCATAACACTGTCTCCACTCTTGCACTCACTCTCGTAACCTCGCTAACATTCCAAAACCTACATAATCGTCGATCGACGCTGTGACCTTCAATCGAAGTGGTGACCTCCGCCGGCCGAAACTTTGACCGTAGCGATCATTTGAATAAGGTAGTCTACTAATCTCTGACATTCCAAAACCATTGAATGTGTCATTAGTTGTATTTATATAATATTGTTGTAAATGTTAAAAAATTTAATTATAGTACAAAACCAAACGGAACCAAACGGAACCCAAACGGTTCCATAATTATATTTGGACCCGAAAGTTGTATTTATTAGATATTCGAAAATTTTGGTTCGGTTTGATTCTCTTTAGAACCGAACCAAACCGATCCGACCCGTACCCACCTCTAGTTTCATTTACATAAATAAGAAGGCCCTTGACTGTTTCCTGGCTGACTCCAAAGAAAGGATAAAAATGTGTAGCGATCATGTCTCAAACATTTCTCTTACAACTTCCATTATTTAGACCACATGCACTTGAATCATGGCCAAGTGGGGGATTGCAATGGGGTTCCAAAACCAAAACGTTTAACCAGGTAAAAAGCTTATTAAGTTAATTTACTTATAACTAAATGAGCAAGTTTTAAAATAAATAATTTTTAGATTTGGTAATAGCTAGAAATAAGTTTTATTTATTTTGATAGCTAGTAAGGTAAGAGTTGCCATTTCTTTTTATAAAATAATAATAATGATGATGATATTATCAAAATATATTTGAGAATGAAAAAATTGCTTAAAAGTAACTTTTTTAAAAGTAGCCAAACATGCTTCTAAACATCAATCGATCTGATTACTATATATAAGTTGTCATTATTTTCGCGCCCGGATAGATCCTAGAGGTAAATTAAGTCTCTATTTGATAGGGATTAAAATTAAAATTTTAATATAAATCAAAGTCAACAAGTAATTGTTACCATACATTTCATGAGATTCACAACTTTTTAACCACATATTTTAGCAACTTTTTTCAGTATCTACTAAAAATCTAATTCTAATTTCCACCAAACAGGGGCTAAAAATACGATATGGTCGAAAAGATTCTAATTAAGTTAAAACTTGTACTATACAAAGTCACGATGGATGACCAAATGGTAAAAAAGATAAATTTAGTGAGCTTTAATTAGATCAAGAATAAGACTTAGAGTCTCCCTCACGATACTCCAAGGCAGGGACGGTGGGGAACCCTTAAGGTTGGAGTTCAACCTTTTAAGAATAAGACTTAGGGTACACCATTTAATATTGCCTTCTACTTTTTCAGTTGTTGCCAAATGGTTGGGATCAAACAAGAGCAAAGTCAACAAGTAATTGTTACCATACATTTCATGAGATTCACAACTTTTTAACCACATATTTTAGCAACTTTTTTCAGTATCTACTAAAAATCTAATTCTAATTTCCACCAAACAGGGGCTAAAAATACGATATGGTCGAAAAGATTCTAATTAAGTTAAAACTTGTACTATACAAAGTCACGATGGATGACCAAATGGTAAAAAAGATAAATTTAGTGAGCTTTAATTAGATCAAGAATAAGACTTAGAGTCTCCCTCACGATACTCCAAGGCAGGGACGGTGGGGAACCCTTAAGGTTGGAGTTCAACCTTTTAAGAATAAGACTTAGGGTACACCATTTAATATTGCCTTCTACTTTTTCAGTTGTTGCCAAATGGTTGGGAACTGTACAAACTACGAAACTATCTCGATAGATCCGATCAAAATCGTTACTCGAAACTTTTCAAAACTCCTCTCGAGTTTATGTTATGTAGGTCGGGAATTTGAGATTCTCAAGTTCACAGTACAGGGGACAGGGAAAAGGTGTGAAGTGGGATTCCCAACTCACAATAAGATTTACAGTTTTGACATGTTAGATTAGATACAAGACAATTTGAGCCTCTTTTATTATTATTATTATTATCTTATCAAAATGCATTTTAGAAAAGTGTTTTGTTGGAAAATATATTGTTAAAAAATAAGAATTTTTTTTTTAGTTTGCATGTAAAACAATTTTACATAACATCGTGTGATTGAAAATAATTTTTGAAAAAAATAAAAGTCAAAAATAGGCTTAATCTTCTCCCGGCTGCTCATGGGAGCTATTTGGCATGAAATATGAAACACATCAAAGATGGGAAAATTTGCATTTTCGTCCAAACTGTTGGAGACGACTTATAAGAAGGGCTATGTAAGGGTTGATTTTTAATATATTTGTTTGACCAATTTTAATCCGCAAGAGTGTGATTAAAACACAATTTATATGAATGAAAATTTGGATAGAGTTTCGGTATAAAGATTACACAAAACAAGGATTAAGAAGGAGTAGAAATAGAGAATAATCCAAGGCGAGACATTATCTCTTTCCTTAAGACAAATTGCCCCGCAATGGTGCTCACGGTGAATGACACTTGTCTCCCAAGATACAATGGATTCACAACTTGTGGTAGCAGTATTTCAAACCACAAGAAACCGACGAACTTTTGACAGAATTTCTCTTCTACAAAGGAAATGTATGAAATGCTATGGAATTTAGAAATGAGAGAATTGCAAGAGGAGAATGAATGCTCAATGCAATTGGTATACTCAAAATCATGTCCATAGAGTTCTATTTATAGATGTAGAAAGGGTGCAAATGAAATAGTATGAGCCAAAACATGCATCCTTTGAAAAAAAAAAGTTGCAACACTTAGCCAAAATCTGCATCCTTTCGAAAAGTTGCAACACTTCATTTCTTTCAACTTTGGTCCGTAATTTCTCATTCATCCGAAATTGATTTTGAGATTCCAAATATACCACGACGATCTACTCGACGAGTAGAATAAGTTTGTCTATTTACTTTTATAATTTGACGATCGGATCAAATCCGAATACTTGGTCGAAGTTGACACATAGTCACATCTTTTCATTTTTCACTTTTACACATCTTTTGGTTAAAAATTTGAATCAATTCCTACACAAACAATATACGTTATTACAACTATTTAAGATTTGAATAATGATAAACGACGTGGCCCTGTTTGGCCCCCTGTGATGGGTGGGGGGGAGACACTACGTGGCTCTCTTAATAGTTTGTTGAAGGAGACTACAAGTCAAAGTCAACACCAGAAATCATGGAGTCACGGTGAGAAAGCCGAAGTAATCAGCAACTGAGAATTTTCCTGATTATTTCCTGCTTTATTAAATAATTAAATTAAATTAAAATATTAATAAATTATGTTCCAGCCAGTCCCACAATTGAAAGACTCAAGTATTTTGTAGGGACCACATTAATCTTTGTTTACAGATTAATACTGCATTTTTATTTAACAGCTATTTAGCCCTTTGTTTAGATTAATTTTAACGAAAGTTGATATATATACGAATGAAAAGTAGTGAATTGCATGATATATACGATTAAATAACTCTTAACTTAAAAATTTAATATACTTTTGAACTAAATCAATCATGGACTTATGCAGTAAAGTATAATAGCTAATGTTAATTGGGAGCATTTAAATTATAATTTTACAGATAAAAATGAATGATAAAAAAGAATAATTCAAAGTTTGCCAAACAAAACAAGAGAGTTACAGCTTGTTTGGGAGTGCTTTTTTGCTCCAAAAAAATTGATTTTTTGATCGTTATTTCACTATTTCAGCTGTCATATTTGACTTCTTCTCTGACAGATGGACCCCACTTTTCTTCCAACGATCAAAAAATCAATTCTCAAAATCACCCCAAACAGGCTCTTAATTGTTTCAATAGTCACTGAATTTAGGTCCATATCTTCGATTGCTCAGTAAAATTTAAAATGTCGAGTTTCGATCACTGAACTTAGGTCCATATCTTCGATTGCTCACTAAAGTTTAAAATGTCGATTTTTGGTTACTGAACTTTGAAAAATGTTATACATTACTCACTGAAATGTAAAAATATTGTACCTTACTCACTGTAAACTCAATATTTTTCAAAATTCAACAATTATGCTAGTGAATAACGTACGACATATTTCAAAGTTCAGTGATCAAAACTCGACATTTTAAATTTCAGTGAACAATCTAAAATATGTATCTAAGTTTGGTGAGCAATTGAAGACATTGACTTAAACTCAGTGATCAAAACTCGACATTTTAAATTTCAGTGACCAATCAAAGACATGAATCTAAGCCCTTGTTTGATGCCTATTACCTAAAAATGAAAATGAGGGGAATAGTATTTTTTAGAAAAATGAGTGGTTGAAAAAGAAAAAAAAGTTTTCGATTAACGTGTAATATTATTTTATAGAAGATTGTGTGGTTGAAAATAGGAGAGAGAAAAATAGAATGTAATGTAATTTAATTTAATGGGAATCAAACAGGGGCTAAGTTCAATAACCAAAATTCGATATTTTAAATTTTAGTGATCAATAAAAAAAATAAATCTAAGTTCAGTGTGGAACAATTAACTCAATATAAGATTAATTGACCCCAGCCGTGTATTTGGACTGAGTCTGGCCGTCTCCATCATCTTCCGTTACAAATACACTGAGTGGCTCATGAATGCATTGAACTTGGATCCTCATCCGCCCTAATATTTCTTCCTATATAAGATACCCACTCCTTACACTCAACAACTACAAACCCTCCTCTCTAATTTTCTTTTCAATTGGAATTCTGCAACCATGAATTTTTCTCACAAACCGATAACGATTCGAGAAGTCTGGTGTCAAAATCTTGACTCGGAATTCAAATTGATCACGAATCTCATTGACGACTACCCATTCATTTCCATGGACACGGAATTCCCAGGAGTGATCTTCAAACCCAATCCGGCCTATAATTTAAGGCAGGGCTCACGTAGGCCGTCACCTTCAGATCACTACCAGACACTCAAGTCAAACGTTGACGTTTTGAACTTGATCCAGCTTGGGCTTTCTCTCACCGACGCCGACGGGAACCTCCCCGATCTCGGCTCGGACCAGCGTTTCATCTGGCAGTTTAATTTCTCCGATTTCGATGTCTCGCGTGACTTTCACGCTCCGGACTCCATTGAGTTGTTGAAGAACCACGGAATTGATTTTGAGAAGAATCGGGAATCGGGGATCGACTCCGCGTTATTTGCAGAGTTGATGATGTGTTCCGGGTTGGTTTGCAACGAATCAGTGAGTTGGGTTACAGAGTTGATCTCATATGCAGAAACATAACTATAATAGGGAACTTCAAACTCTACAACAGCCTATTTATATGTCATGACGAGATACTACAACAAATTTGATCATATACAGCAATTAAATCTGACAGAAATTTACTCACTGGATTATTGTATTACAGGAATTATCTGAACAAATACTATACAACGATCCACTTACCTTCACAACGATCATGAGCTACTTATTGAGGATCGCCACCGAATCCACTTGAATTCCCTGTCGTGCTAGTTATAGAAGGCATTTCAGTAGGTTCAGGCTGTGGTGTTTGGGCCGGTGGTATGCTAACATTAGGCAAGGCATAGTCTTCGTGAACAGTGCTCAAGCTATCCCAGTTAACCCCAGCTATAGTCGAGAGTCATGGAATTCTATAGAATACATCTTATGAAATAAAATATATTTTATTATATTCGTTTCAGTATTGATAATATACGCATGCACTCAAAAGAAAGGGGGCAAAATTTTTCATGAGTTTGTACAGATGCTCTAATATTGTTGACATCTCACTACTTTCGAAAACAAGTACGAAAGAAAAGTGCACCAGCTAGTGTTAATTGAGATTACCTCAAATGTGCACCTTCCGCATCCGCTATAGCTTTTGAAAAAATTATTGTCATTTCCCTATATCAAGTGATGTTGAGTTGATGATGGAGCATTAACATGAATTGAATGGATAGTGCAAAACATGCTTGAAATGAAGTTGAACCCGACAGATTGGACTTGTGAATTTTTGAATTTGATTAGGGGCGATATAAAATGATTTGCATTTAGACCGTAAGCTATACTTTTGAGCACAATAGCGACAATCCCCCATATCAATTGAATAATTTTGAGAAACAATTCAATGTGTGTTTATGCGAGTTGTGCTTGGTGTACTTAATTTAAGTACATAGGGATGTCCACGCCCCTCACATGGGGTGGGCCCACCTTGATACCCCTATGTACATATTTTATGTACACCAAGACTCTTCTGTGTTTATGCAGATGCTAAAATCTAGTATCTTAGTCTTCATACAATTGAAACTTAATTTGACATACAATGCTACCTCCCTAGTACACTAATATAAGTACGAAAGAAAAGTTCACCAGGTAGTGTTACAAGAGTTGATCTCATATGCAGAAACATAACTATAATAGGGAACTTCAAACTCTACAACAGCCTATTTATATGTCATGACGAGATACTACAACAAATTTGATCATATACAGCAATTAAATCTGACAGAAATTTACTCACTGGATTATTGCTATTACAGGAATTATCTGAACAAATACTATACAACGATCCACTTACCTTCACAACGATCATGAGCTACTTATTGAGGATCGCCACCGAATCCACTTGAATTCCCTGTCGTGCTAGTTATAGAAGGCATTTCAGTAGGTTCAGGCTGTGGTGTTTGGGCCGGTGGTATGCTAACATTAGGCAAGGCATAGTCTTCGTGAACAGTGCTCAAGCTATCCCAATTAACCCCAGCTATAGTCAAGAGTCATGGAATTCTGTATAATACATCTTATGAAAAAACTAAAAGAATTGCATAAAAGAAGCAGAAGATGACGATAATTAGGATACGATCTGTTCTCCACATGTCAGTGATGCTTATATCAGCGTCCGATAATAACCAATAATCGGGATCGTTCTATAAACGTCAAAACAAACATATTTAGCAGTTGGGCAATTTGTTCTCCTTTCTGTAATTTTTCAACAAAAAAAAGGCTAGATTTCAAGCTTTTTGGTGTCGTTAAATTTCTATTCTTATGCCTTTCACTATTAGAAAAGCTATGCAATGATCATTAGTTTTTAAAACGTGACTTTGTTGCTACTGGAAAACAATGTGCGTGATATGAAGCAGTTCTAAAAATGTCATGAATTTCTTTAGTTCATATCAATCTGCATATCTGAATATTCAATCAAATAATAATACCATTCTGTAAATTTAACTTACATCAATGTCCGGCACAATCTTCAAGATTCCACTCACAAAATCCTGCGATGTACTTGTGTCTGAGCACATTCTCTGGGCTTCTAGGCTCTGGTTAGCTTCGTTTACTCTTATCTCCTCGGTTGCTGGTGTTACAGAAGCATTCTCATCAAATGTTGATGTTGGGGGGTTGCTTGGTTGCACCTCGACCCCATTCATCTCCTCAAATCTCTCTTCAAATTGACTAAATTAAGTAGTAAGCAGAAAATCAGAAACAAATAAAAAACATAACAAACATCAGTTGATCAATAATCTCCCATATGATTTCAGGGCCAACTTTGATAAAAAAAAAAAAAAAAAGAAAAGAAAAGAAAAGTGCAAAGTGATGATGAACGCACTTCATTACAAGAAAGAGGTAAAATACCTGACAAGGTAAACATCTATAGGTCCCATAGTGCTCCGGAGAACTATTATGTATCTCCTCTGTGGATAATCAATTGCCTAAATGAATCAAGGAGATTCATGATTACATATGCAGGTACAAATTCGTCCCCAATATTTGGCTACAAGTCATTCGTTACTTGTCAGAAGAAAGAACAGGAAATTAACCTCATCAGGATCTGGAACTTCTAAAGTGGTGCCATGTGGAGCTTTAACTGCTATCAAAGTTTCATTCTGATGAAAGAAGCATACCCATGTGTCAGTAAGAATCTACTGACCAACGAAAGCAGTAGGAGAACTGATGTGAAGTACCTGAAAGCAAGGTAAACTCTTGATGTCTTCTTCAGTCACAAAAAGCCACCTGGTGAATAAGTTATGTAAGCACAAGTATCAACACAAAAGGGAGTGATTCAATGTCCACACATCATTTAGCATCTAAAGGCCAAGGAGTGCTTTACTTTTGATTGTTTTCATCTTCACTGAAGCCTCTCAATTTCTCTTGCATTTCTCTGGAACAAGCAAAAAGCCAGAAGCCTCAGCATGATTGGGACTTTACCAGAACAAATATGTTTTGTAGCATCAAAATACCTTATTTCTTCATCCAATCTGCTCTCCTCCATATTTAAGTTTGCTATTTCTTCCTGCAGGGTGCAAAGAGCTGATGAGGACTGAATCTAGTAACTTCTGGAAGTACGAATCCATCTCTCTTCCCTTTTAGTTCGAAAACTTGTAGCTTGTTGTACATGGGGAAGGATTAATATGCCACTGAATGCAAATGAAGCAGCATTTTGAGTACGTAACATGTACTTAGTAGACATAATTCGGCATTGCTTGAAAGTGTTTCTTTTCAGTGGATAGTTAAAGGAATTTTTCACAAAATTTCGGATCGCTGATGGCTATATGTCTAATCATGTTTTCTGATATTGAACAGTTTCACACAGGTTATTCAGCCCCCGTTTGGCCCCCTTTAATTCTCATCAATTTAAATTAAAATTTTCTCTCTCCTATTTTCAAACACAAAATTTTTAATAAAATAATATTACACGTAAATCAAAATTTTTTCATTCTTTTACAACCACTCATTTTCAAAAAAAAAAAAAAACTATTCCTCCCATTATAATTCAAATTGATGGGGGCCAAACGGGGGCTCAATGCATGAATAGAATAGATAGAAAAAATTCGAACAACAATTCCAAACAGACATGATAAGAATGGAGTACAAGAATAATAAGCTAAAACCAAAATTAGCAGCAAAACCAAAAAGAACCACAAAGATATTTAGACCATGCACGTGCAAATGGACATGTATTTCAACTGGGCGGGAACTATACCCAAGTCTGTGAAGTCTGTAGAAGCCAAGAAAAAATCATTTATATTTTGTGATCATACCTGTAAGCTAGGGAGACTCTCATCCACTTGTCCTGGTCTTGAGACATCCAGACCCCTGTTTGGTAGATATAATTACTAACTTCTCGTGTTCAAATAGGTCACCAATAAAAAGGAAAAACATTATACAACAAATAACTTCCATAATAAAATTTTCGAGAGTGCTTCCATACTTCCACTGGATTCTGTTTTTGATTTTCTTTTCTATAAGACCAATGCCTTCAAGGACATTTGTTATGTCATATATACGCCTTTTCTGCACCTGTTAAAAGATAAAACTTTCAGTTCTTGGATGTAATCTAATGTGAAGTATCAAGTGGAAGATATATTCACCTCTAATCTGTCGGCAGCTTTATTTAGATCAAGAATACCATCTTCTGCATGTTTGATCAGATTAATAAACTTTCTTGTTAAGAGACCTGGTTATGTAAAATGACATTGTTATCAGTATGTCCTAAATATCACTCCAATCAAGATATGCAGCAAGGAGAAGGGAGAGAAGAAAGGAAAATTCCACGGTTCGAGCATAATAAATTACCTAGGGAGCTATCATACCGAGAGGCACCAACCGGAGTGAGATTATTACCGGAATGAGAACCTGTGAGTTCATAGTAGATATTTAAAAGTTTATCATTCTTTTCCTTGGTAATCTTTTTACTCTTTCAGAAATAAGAATGACAAGATGCCGAAGAGTAAGACAGGGGGAACAAAAACAAAGATGAAAAGATACACTAACCAGTACCCTCCACTACTTTCGAAGCAAGAACAAAAAGTAATAATTAACTTAGATAAAGAACTAAGATTTTACCAGTAATACTCACCAATATTTGCCACAGGAGTTTGAGATACAGCTTTACTAGCCTTTGGTGTTCTTGGAACTTTTTGGGCCTTTGCCACTTTTTCTGATACTGGTGTCCGAAAAGGACCCTTGACGACACCAGCAAGGTTAGGACTTGGGTTCTGTTCAACAGATTCCACTGTACAGGCTGCTGCATCATTCTTCCGCTTCAATGGCTAGAGGACACAATTTCATGAACAAATCATCAGCATAAGTTTTAAGTGAATTTAAGTTTGTCTTGGCAGACCAAACAAAATGCTGGAATTAAAAGAATTGATTTGCTTTCTATCAAAAACGACACAACTCCAGCGTAATTGTAGTGCAAGAGTCATAAAGCCTGGATAATGAAAAACAAAACTCAAGACCAACCTTAAGGCACATACATCGCAAGGAACTCCAGTTATTAGACGATAATGATAATGCAATCATCAAATTCGTAACTGAATACCCAACTACAACATATCAAAATGACACATTGGCATTATTTATTCCTCTCTATATAATATGTCTCACCAAATGTTCACGAGTTACAATTGATGAAATTAGCAGACTACATCCATTTGGTGATACACCAAGATATGATGTCAAAAGTATGTTTATTGAACTAAAAGCGCCCATCTACATCAATGATGAGAACAAGCACCTGATTTAACTCATTTAGTCAAGTCTTGTTTGGGAAGTGCTTATAATTATAAATATAATCGGTCAATTGCTTTTCATCCACACATTTCGTAAGACCTACAAATACTACCCATTTATCCATCACTCATTTCTATTTATTTATAATTTAAGCCTTCGTTTGGCACAATTTATAAATAATCAAAGATAATTTTCAACCACACATTTTAATGGATTCACAAGTAATATCCTCTTATCCTCTACTCATTTTTATCTATATATAAATTCAACCGTTTATAAATTCTTCCCAAACGAAGGCTAAACCGAATTATAGTTACATCTCAAACATGCAATAAATATATTAGGATGCCCAAAAATACTAGTTGCACTGCACTTAAAACAGATTACAGAGAGTTTTCCAAGTCTTTCAATGCCCTATACCATCAATGCAGCATATAACCTCTAATCAAGATAACAGTATGCAATCCTAGTAAATGTGAAAACGAATAGTAAAAGAACTTATCAACCATAATAATTTTAGGTTCTTGGACAGGCCCAATCCATAACCTACGATAGACAAACAAATAGATAGCTAAGCAAGTGCATTTTGAAATAATTAGATTCATTTTGGTGTCCTACTCATCATCTATAGATATTTCAAAGCAGTGAAATTTTCTATGAGATTGTAAAATAGTTCATACGGCATGTAATGGAACAACATCCTAAAATATCCATCCAGGTTAAAGTTAATCTTAAGTAAAAACATAATGCCATCCATTATGGGATGCAAAATATAAAACCTAATGTAATTTAAACAATGAATTAATTAATTAGGACTGATCAGAGCCAGACTATATAACTACAAATGGAACTGAAACAGCAAACAAGCCTAGAGCGTTGTCAACGGTCCTCAGCAATTTGAAGTTTTGTATGATGTGATTCCACCATAATGTTTTCTTGACATTCTTACATTTCCTACTCAAACTCCCGCATATAAACTAATTAATTGTTCTCAAGATTAACTATATTTCAACTATACATTTAGACAACAAATGATTATATCTCCTTTAACCTACATAAACATCCAAGGCTACTTCTCTTTTAAAGAAATGATCTGAAGAGCTAAAATTTACCATCGAATCCATATTCTTAGCAACAACACTCTTTATATGGACCATCGATCAAATGAAATCTTCGAGTAAGCAACATTGCAAGTTGCTCACAATCCCAAATTTCAAGTATATGCTCAATGACTATGAACATTGGAAAATTTGAAGAGGACACGTGAAGCTATTGACTTTATGGTTAAGTTATGATGGTGTCTCCTTTTGCTTGAAATGTGCGATGGTTATATGACATGGAAAAGTATTTCGAAGTGGTTGTTTAATGCTTTCAACAGAATATTTGCTAATATAATATTTTCTGCAAATGAATTGGATAAGATTGTAGATCTTCAAGAATCAAGAGACTAATAAGTGATTCAAAATTTTCCCTTGATAAACGGTCCTCAGCAATTTGAAGTTTTGTATGATGTGATTCCACCATAATGTTTTCTTGACATTCTTACATTTCCTACTCAAACTCCCGCATATAAACTAATTAATTGTTCTCAAGATTAACTATATTTCAACTATACATTTAGACAACAAATGATTATATCTCCTTTAACCTACATAAACATCCAAGGCTACTTCTCTTTTAAAGAAATGATCTGAAGAGCTAAAATTTACCATCGAATCCATATTCTTAGCAACAACACTCTTTATATGGACCATCAATCAAATGAAATCTTCGAGTAAGCAACATTGCAAGCTGCTCACAATCCCAAATTTCAAGTATATGCTCAATGACTATGAACATTGGAAAATTTGAAGAGGACACGTGAAGCTATTGACTTTATGGTTAAGTTATGATGGTGTCTCCTTTTGCTTGAAATGTGCGATGGTTATATGACATGGAAAAGTATTTCGAAGTGGTTGTTTAATGCTTTCAACAGAATATTTGCTAATATAATATTTTCTGCAAATGAATTGGATAAGATTGTAGATCTTCAAGAATCAAGAGACTAATAAGTGATTCAAAATTTTCCCTTGATATCCATTGTTTTAGTGAAAAACCATATCAAAGAATTAGGCTCACACTAGTCTCTAGAAGAATTGAAATCAAACCCACTTCACAAACAACAGAAAAAATGGAAGATTAACCAATAAAACAAGCAAAATGACTCAGGTCAAACCCCTTACAATCCATAAAAATTCGCTAATTCAATTCCAACTCATTCGAGGTATCAGTTGACAACATAAAAATCACACGTTTCGTATAACAATACTTGATTCTTCATGTATTGGAAACTGAGAACTTACAGGAGGAGTCTTTACAACAACAACTTGATCATCAACTTGATTAGGTTTTCCTTTATCAAAATCAGCATCGAAACTGTGGTAGTCACCTCCAAATGGCGGCTTTGGGGAAGTGAATGGTAGCTGTCTCTCCAAATTCTGCTTCTGTGAGTTGTACTGTTGCATGATTCATAAATTTTTTCTCGAAGCTCGAAGAGTGAAACAAATATAGATTTTTTTGTTATTTTGTAACATTGGATAACCAAGAATCATTAGGAGTTTTGGAGGGTTTGGGGTGAGAAAAAGGGGAAGTAAAATTGGGGAATGAAGAGGAGTTTTACGAGGGAAACGGACAAGGGGCGTGGAGAGATCTGATTTGGGAAAGGGAAGAATGAATAAAAAAAGCGGGAGAGAAAGAGAAGGTGGAAGTGACGGAAGAGGGTATTTGGTTCGGATATAGATGTGGAGGGAAGAAATTGTATGCACTATTCATAGTCCTTATTAAAAATAAAGAGAAATTTGTATTTTTTTGCCCTAATTTTTTCGAAATGTAACAAATTTTTTGTTTTTACATAATCTATCTTCAACTTTTTAACTATGTAAAAAACTCGCCTTTTGTTTCATTTTGGTTATTAAGCCCTTATTTGTTTCTCATTCTTTCTCCATTAAAATACAAAATATGATCGTTATCCATCACACCAAATCATTAAATTTAAATTTCTATCTTTTGTGTGAGGTCCACGACGACTATATTTTTCATTCTCATTTTTACAAAAATGGGAAACAAACGTCCTATAAATGATGAATTTACACTTCTTTCAAAATAAACAAAATATTAAAACAATAAAAAATAAAATAATTATAGATTTAGGCCTTGTTTGATTCCTATTTTTCCCAAAATATATTTTTTCTCTCTTTATTTTAATCATACATTCTTCAATAAAATAATATTACGCGCAAATTCAAAATATTTTCTTATTTTTTAACCACACATTTTTTATTAATCTAGTGTTTCACAATGCATTTTTCCTATTTAATGGGGTTCAAACAAGTCCTAAGTCTCGTAACTTTTCCAATTAGAAATAAATTTTGCTTAATGGGAACCAAAAATGGGCTAAATATATATTGGCATGTGAGAATAATTTAAAATCTTGATCTTCACCAACCAATAAGTTATGTTTTACAGATGTGAACACTGTGGGAACAAGTAAGTTACTAAAATTGTTCTGATACCACTTGTTGATTTCAAAAGTGTTACAAGAATTGAAATTTAATTATACAATATGAAATATGTGATTAGACAATATCACAATGATATAAACAAGATTAAAGTAAAGCAATTAAAGTTAAATTAGCAGATGAGTCGATGTTTTATCCAAAACAAAATGGAGCGAATACAAGGAACTGAGCAATAATTTAACCTAAACTAAATGAAGAGCCACATATTTATGGGGACATACCAAACCTTAAAAATATCGTAAAGATGGAAATAATATAAAAATCATGTGGAATAAAGGAAATAATATTTTTCCAATAAAATCACATGAAAATAAGGAAACAATATTTTTCAATAAAATCACGTAAAAATAAGGAAACAATATTATCCAAAAAAATTCACCCTATTTTAGAGCACAAAATCTAACAATCTCCACATTGATCCAAATCGTAATGTAAAGAACAAAATTCCAAAATTTCTCTACTTGAAAAAATAATCAAAACTCTCCACCTCACGAAAAATATCATCCTCCGTCCAGCATCCACAAGTGACATCTGAACTATAACTCCGGGTTTCCAAATTTTCAACATGGAATTAACATTAACCAAACATGGTCAAAGCACACTCAGTAGCAAAATCCACACAAAATGCCTTATCAGAAAGGCCCATTGCTAGAACTGTCGCCTTCAAAGATCCCGAAAGCATTATAGACATCTCCAACATCGTATCTACGCTCAATGGATCCAAACCTAGCATTTGAATATAGTGTATCCACTGAAATTGGTGGTAAAGCGGAATCACCAAAGCTTTCCCTAGTAGTGTTCTGAACCGACCCAGAATCCGTCACAAGAGATATTGTACCAAATTGAATGTCCACCACGATACTAAACCTGTCCAGATATCTCTTAAATGGTTCTGTGCTCCCTCACAAGATGTACTAAGACTTCTTACTTCCCTCTATTATAATTCGGACACCCCTTCAGACTTTCAAGATTCTACCTCCACCAAAGAACTTATACCTTTTTGAATCCATAGTACTTAACGAGATGAGATTCTTTTTCAAGTCTGAAACATGTCGAACCTGGCCAAGTACTCTGACTATCCCATACTGCAACCTTAATCTCACCCGATCGATTCCAGCAACCTGATAAAATTGATTGTTTTCCATGACAATTCCATCTTGCTTAACCGCCTCATATGCCTCAAATAAGTCCTAATTAGGGCACATATGGAACGTGCGTATACGACTGTACCAAGGGTGGTGGTGTCGGCTCTACACACTCCGACAATTAAGTCGGTTGATAGTCATGGTGGCGGTGGTGTCGGAATGCACAATACTCAAAAGGAGAGGGGGGAATAAGTATTTTTCTTGTGTGAGGAATGCTTACCTTCCTTTTGGCCAATACCTTAGTATTTATAGACAAAGGGCACCGTTAGATACGTGACACGTGTGGTGATCAGACGGTCCGAGGCATCTGGCGCATAGGCATCCATTAATCAACTCCTTAGGTATGAAGATCTTGGTCAAAAGATCTCTAACATTAGTGGTGGGGAGACGGTACTATTTTCTTTTGTGAGGCCACGCCTCCCTCTAACCAGTTCCATTTGGCATCACTTTCGTTGAAGCGTATGTACTACCCATGGCTTTGTATCGCCTCGGTCGAGGCACCTTGTCTGTGCCTCGTCTAGCAAGTGCCTTGCTATCATCATTTCGGTTGAAGCATGAGCCATCTCGTCTGTGCATCGTCTAGCAGGCTGTATGTCACCTCGGTTGAGGCAACTTGTTTGTGCCTCGTCAAGCAAAGTGCCTCGTCGTCATCACTTCTGTTGAAGCACGAGGCATCTCGTCTGTGCCTCGTCTAGCAGAGGCATAACAATTTTCAGAAAAATTATTTCTATATTCTAATGGAAGAGTCATGATGTTTAAGCAGTTTTAATGATTAAAAAGGTAAAATTATGGAGAAAATCATGTCGTCGTGAAGAAAGCAGTAATATTTGCATCAGATTACGTATTAATATCTGCATAGTTGTGGAAAAAAGGATAAATTGACTGCTGCTCTTTTTCATATTCCAATGTTATCACCTGGAAACCATGTGGCAACAATCGACATTCAACTTGTTTAATTGACACGATTAATAATATAAATATATATTTTTTAATGCAAAATATTTGTAATAATTTTTTCTTATAGACATTTAATTATTTCTACTTTATCGATTGTTGCTTGGGATTTTCCTTGTTCCTTTGCAATAATTTTCAAATTTCTTTATTAATCAAGCATTACAAGTTTTGGCAAGAGAGGAAAATGAGTAATATGAAGAAGTAGGGATTATGACTGAGAGTTCCACTATCCCACCATAAAAAGAAGCCTACAAGATCTCCCCTTTCTCCTGCACCTGGGTTTGATGACGACGACGATACTGTTGAGAGAGAGCTTCTAAAAACAAATATCTCAAAGATGTGAACCAATTCTGTTACTTTATTTATCTTTTATTTTAGTTCCGTATTTGTTACTAAAGAATTTTGTTAGTATTGTTGTGTTTACCTTATTTTTTTATTCTTCCAAAGAAGTTGTGTGATACATTATTAATTTAATAATCCATGCAGGAAATACCATTAGTTAAACATCATGCTTAAATGTTTTATGTTTTCATTTTTTACTGTTTGCAGCCAAAAGTATATTCAAGCGCTTATTGGAAAGGCTGAAATACGAGAATGAGAAATTAACGAGAAAAAAACTTTCCAAAGAGAGAAGCAAAAATGAGTTTGTTACAAGTGCTTACAAGAAGAAACTGGCAGAGCAAGCCAAATGGCTAGAGTAAGAATGGCTTCGTGAACGAGAGAGGCAAAAGAAGATATATAAATACGAACTTGTATTTGTCTTCACATTAAGTATATTGAACTTGTCCGATGGGATCGGCTTTTCAATGTCTCTCTGGGACCTGTAATGCTTATTGGAAGCACTTTGACAACTATTATTACCCCATCAATTGGAAATTCTCTTAAAATACTCTTGTTTTCTTTCTCATGTTGTTGTTCTTTGCTTATGAATGTATTTTCCTTTTGCCTTTTCGTTTGTTTTCTTTCTTTAGGCCTGTTGGTTGATTAATGTTGCTCTTAGTTCTGTGTATGACTCAATAAATCTAAATCTATCTGTTGCCTCCAACAATAATTTACACAATTTCATTTTTAAAATTTAATAGGTTTCCAAGAAGATTGACTTAGTGACTTCTACTTCAACCTCGGAAAAAATGTTGCTTTTGGTGGAGGAGCGAGCTGCTGACTTGGAAAGCCAAAAGAGAAACAAAAAGAAACAGTGGTTCGATCACAAAAAGCACCAAAAAATGTCCTTCCAGCCACCACTACAAGTTCAGAATCATCTAGGCTGATAAAAAGGCAATACATGCAAACTTCCGATGATCAATCACCTGAGAAAAAATTGGAAAATGAATTTGAGAAGCCCGTTTCTGATGTTTCCACAAGGGATATCAACTGAGACCCATTCACCATAAAAGAAGCGAGGATGCAATGGCCGCAGCTAAGGAGCGATTTTGGCACGAAAGATGGCGAAGGAACAATGAGGTATTTTGTTAAGAATCATAGCCCCCTCACATGAAGGATCATGGGGCCCCTCATATCAAGGGGCTATAAGTCTTATACAACACATAGTGCTTGATTCATCTGTTGGCTCCATTTCATAGGTTGGACAATGCTATATATACATAATTTTTTTATCTAATCTTTTAACTATTGCTATTCACGATAGAGGATGGGGACTATATATAAAAAAATTTATATTTATGCGAGGCCCGCGTGTATTGTGAGAGGGGGGACAACTTTCGGTAACCCCAATTTGATACAAATAGAATTATTCTTCATGGGCTACAGAATGAAAATTCCCGTTGCACTGCATCTACAGATGGTGTAAACTTTGACACTCTACAGAATCTACACTATGTTAGCTAAAATATGAATTTATTGGCTACGTTCTATACCAGTACCGTATCTTGAAGTTATCTACTTACTTCCATATGTCCTTGCATTTTTATTTGTATTTCCTTGTTTGTTATTTTTATTATCGAAAAATGTAATACTCTAGTCAATTCAAAAAGAAAAGCCAAACATAAAAAAAACAAAAAACAAAAAACGAGTGGCAGGCGGTGGAAACTAATACAAATCCAAACCAAATTCGTAACACACACATATCACACAACACACACACAAGAATGGACTAGAG